ATAAAGAAAAACTGCTTTCTAACAGAATTACACTCAAAGAAATTTGAGTAATGATGTTTCTTTATTAAAACTGACTTAACGTTAAAGAAGAAATTTTTATACAACCATTTATATATTTTTATTAGGAGAAAATTATTGTATTAATTGCGTCAGGATTTTAAAATGTATTTCAGAAATACGGAGTAAGGAGCTTATTCAGTAGGGCAAAACGCTCTGGTAGATGGGAAGAATATAGAGTTACATTCACTCACTACAACAAATCAATCAGACAGTTCAAACGGACTAGCTAGCGTAGCCATTGTGGTAGTATTGAGAAGTTACTGGAAGCAACTAGACTACCCAATGGTTGCTTTACCACTGGTTGTGAAGACACCCTCGGGTTTCCTTTGCAAAGTTACTTCTCTGGTTCTGTAACCGGAGTAACAATATTACAATCAAACAGGGAAGTTACTGCTCTCATTTCACATGTCAGGAATATGCGGAGAGGAATGAACGTAATCTTTATTCCCAAACTTGGTAATAAAATCATTGACCAACCAAAGTCCTACAGACCCATTGGCCTTACGTCTTTCTTACTGATCTGATATGATCTGCCTTATGTGTATTTCTGGATGTAGAAGGAGCTTTTAACAACACACCATATGAATCCTTATCCGGAGCTCTGGCCCGAAAAGATATTGACGCATGCACAATAACGTGGATAGAAAGGATGTTATGAGACTGGAATATATCTTCCAAATAAGGTAGCACTACCATCATCATTAGTGCTGTACAGGGCTGTCCTCAAGGTTGCGTTCTCTCACCATTGCTATGGACGCTGGTAGTCGATGATGTGCCAGGTAAACTAGAGCAATTTGGCTACAATGCCATAAGTTATGCAGATGAAATGGCAATCATTTTTTCTGGTAAATATGAATCCATAGTTACTCACGTAATGCAGGCGGACTTATACAAAGTCTCACAACTGGTGTATAAAAGAAGGTCTAAGTATTAACCCAATAAAGGCAATAATTGAGCCATTTTCAAGAAGGTATAAACTGAATATCGAGTTCCTATCTATAAAAAAAAAAATGGCTGTTGAATGCTCCGAATAAGTTGAATATTTGATGTTACCCTACATAAGCGTCTTGATGGGAACACTCACCAGAATAATATAATTGGCAAAGCCACCTGAGTCATGTGGACGTACAGGAACTTATATGGTGGAACCTGAAACCTAAGTCCTAGAATTCTATTATGGCTCTACTGCACAATGGTCAGACACATTGTATCCTATGCAGCTTTTATTTGGTGGAGTGAGGCACACCAAAATGCTGTAATATTCAAATGCAATAAACTGTAAAGACTTGCATTTCTCGCTATGACGGGAACTATTCGAGTTTGTCCCACAATAGCACTGGAGTTCTTTATTAAAAAGACATCAGTTTTGAGTGCAGGTAGGCTACACCCTGTTATCAATATGCACGGAAGTCTTGACAGTCTAAACTCTATCTACAGACTAGTTCAGACATGGAACTTCGCTTCGGTAGAAAATTCGAAGTCATCATTCATGATCTAAAAACTAAAGGAGGAGTTGGTACAGGGGTATTTGGTCCTAACACTAGAATCTCGTTAGCGTTGGGTATATGGCCCACTGTCTTCCAAGCGGAGGTTCACGTATCAACCTTAACAATGGGCTGAAAGGCGTCCGTATCTGTATTTACTCAGATATTCCAGTAGCAATCAAGGCATTATCCTGCTGGAAGTTTTCCTCAAAGCTTCTGTTAGACTACTATGACACGCTGCAGCAGGTGGCAAGCAAAAACAAAGTGATGTTTTGCTGGGTGCCTGGTCACACAATAATCAATGCTAATGACAGACAGTCTTGCGACAGGATCCGCCATTCAACTCTGAGGACCGGAGCCATATTGTGGATTAAGTTGATCTACAATTGATTAATGGTCTCTGATTGATAATGGTTTTCATCCGAGAGAAGTCGCTACTGCCGCAGATAACCGTCATGCTATAGAGCTGGTTTGTTCATATAGTTATGGCAAGTTATCCATCTTCAGCAGAACAGAGTTAAGGTTGCTGGTGGGATATTTAACGGGTCACCATGGACTGCGTTATTACCTTCACAAAATGGATTTCTCTAAAGAGATAGATTGTCGACTCTACCTAGAAGCAGACAAGACTTCCAGTCACATTATTTTTGACTTCCCAGCCTTGATCTGTACCACAAGGAGTTCACTGAGTCGAGAACTACTCTCCCTTTTTGATATTAGGATGTCCTCAACGGCTGACATTCTGGCTTCCATTCAAGCTGGTACACTGTTTATTTCTATTATATTCCATTCTACAGCCAAAAGCTAACTTACTAAGCCAATGTCATTTAGTTCTATATTACATATTTACTTTCCTGTAAAACTTAAAACTCTACCCTCAAGGGTGGATTTATACCATAATTTTTTAATACATGCTTTTTTAAACCAATTCTGATCGTATAATCCTCATATCTAATCTCATAGACTGTTAGGTATATTTTCTAAATGCATAGTTAAAGTTTAATTTAATATTGACTATAGAATTTTATATATTTCAAATAAAATTGCTGGTTTTTGCTTATTCACCCACTACATTATTTGCTTTAATTAAGAAAGAAAGAGTTCAATTAATACTTAAATTAAATCAATTAATCAATAAATTTAATTATACTATATATATACATATATAAAATTATATCTATACTAGCTGACCCGGCGAACGTTGTTTCCCCTTGCAATTAATTTTCCTGACGTTCGTTGCGTTGCTTTTGACTTTCATTAGAACGTGTGATTGTATCCTGATTTCTTACATTTTCATTGTTTTCTGTCGATCTATTTAACCGACGGTTTTGGAGTAATTGTGAATTCCGAGTCCGTCGACAAATATTTCCTCCTCGTCCACGAAGACGTGGCATTGTTTTTTGTACGTTATTTATATCTTTACATATATAATTCTTCTTTTTTGTGTGTTGAATTTTTGAATTCTCTGGATTTACCAGGAATACCACCACATAACTTAAGATTAAAAATTGGCTCACCTATAATTATGCTGCAGAATTTAAATGCACTTAAGCTATGCAACGGCAGTTTTACGATTCATTTTAGAGATTTTAAAGTTTTTAAACAAATCAAAGTAAGCATGAATAAATTTTAAATTTCTAATATAAATGTATATGCATACCAAAAAATAAAAAATTAATTAAAAAGACATTATCTAGTGGGCCAAATTGTGAATCTAAACCTTCCTTGAATCCACTTGAACACTCACAAAAAATTTCATCAAAATCGGTTCAGCCATTTAGGAGGAGTTCACTGTC